GCTTCTCTTCAATAGCCACAATTGATTTCGAAACAGGATTATTAGTACCGTGTAGTCACGTTATCACTTCCCTATGCAGCTATGGGTACAATGGTTTTCAAGGCAGATGTGAATTTTTAGACGAGATGGGATTCCCTCAAATTACAATCAGACTAGGATTGTCGATGAGACAAACTTTGATTTTTTTTATTGTAGATATGAAGACCAATATGGTGTGGCTTTCTGTTTGGTCGCAGTCTCCTTAAGCTTTATATTGTTGGTTCGACCTTGTTTTCGCAACTTGGTCGGAGCGTCAGGGAGACCTTGTGGAACGTGCCTAGTCTCGTATCCTCCGCCATAGTATTCACTATTTCCAGCTTCTGACAATTGGTTGGGTACATTCCCAAACGTTTAGCCGGCAACGTCAGTAATAAGCGCCATCGTTAGAACATAATTCAGGTGTAATTTTTAGGCCGCTTGACGTGGTTTATGGATTGATAGTTGAATTTTCCCACATTGTTATGAGTAGGTCTCATTTAACTTTGCCTCCCATGCGGAATTTTAATCCGGGGTGGACTGAAGTGAAGTTTTTACATGGCCTGGATCTCATAAATAACCCCAAAGGGACTCGAACTCGAGTAGTGCAGAATATAATTTCTAAAGGCTACCAATACACCACCTTACTAAGGGTGCCAGTGGGTGAATTTCAAGGCTAGTTGTGTCACACTTTTATTAGGATTGGCGGTGAAGCAAACGTGTATTTGCTACTAAAATCGACTGCATTATTTATACTTAGAATGAATAGGTTTGAAAATTCACTCTTCTTAATTATATCTACAAGTAGGCTCTAAACCTACTTATTCCCAATGCAAGTAGTATAGTTGATTGTAACAGCTCTTATAGCTAAGTGAAATTCAGTGCAATGTGGCCTTATTCATACGATTGGAAAATAAACTCTAACACCAATCCTTAAATCAGCTTGTGTGGCAAATCAACAAAATTCGTCGGTTGGGTTGTGTAAGTAAAGCAGAAATGATAGATTATCCAAGAAAACATGGAATGGTTTGCTTGCATAACGCCGCTTCTCTCCAGGTAAAAGTAATCCCCCAAAAGTCTACCGACATGATTCAGAAATAGACATAATGTAAAGGTTCAGCAAGTGTCGTATGGAAATGTTGCAATTATAGTTATCCCGCATCTCCAGCGACTACTCAGTGCTTGTGCGTTTATTCGCCATAGCATTGCAAATTTGCAAACTTGGTTGCAACCAGAGTGGTCCGATGGTTCCCACCAGATGTTGCCAGATCCTATTTAGATTATGTAAGTGTTGGAAGTCAGAACTGGGAAGCCGTCTGACGATAAGTTCGAATCCCGCTAATGTCCACTAATCCGCAGCACTTTTGAGTCCGCTCTCTTTACACCGATGGAGTTGTATTCCTTAGTTTATCTATTCTCTCTTTATTTTATCTACTAAATAAAGATGAATTTCGATTAATTTCATGAGAATTCCTTTTTATGGTGTCTTTCATTCATGTGAAAGTGCCTGAAGTCATACTTTATTCTTGTGTAGACTTTTATGATTACCTTTAAGTTTGTGTATGAATGATGTACAGGCCTGGCAATGCATGTCGGTTGATGGACAGGAGTTCAGCTCGTTTTCTTACGAATCGCAGGACTGAACCAACCTAAAAATAATGTTACGATCAAACGACTGTAGGGCAACAAGAGTCGGCCGTCCGCTTAATAAATTCACAACAAACTTTTAGTTTGCATTTAGACAGTTTTCATTATATATGCTTATATTTATATGTCTAAAGATTAGCTGAAGTTCTAAAGATCCCTTACTACCCTCCAATGATTGGACTTTTAATCTCAAAATAAAAAATGGTTACAAGGGCTTCTCAATTTGTCCGTCTTAGTGATCCTATATCTCTTCTATCGTGGCAGGTACCATCAAAGCGTGAAACTTTTCCTTGGGAAAACCTCAAACAGCACAACAGAAATAGTCTACTTATCTTACTCTATGATGCATTGTTCCTATGAAACGTTTTCAATTTCTGACCAAGTCTATCGCAGTGACGACATTTTATGAACTCTCTCCATCCACCTTCGTCTTCAAAGTAGAAAATTCTGTGGCAGACGTTTTCATTATTCCTTTTCTACTGTTATATGCTAAAGTAAACTTATTTAATCTCATTTTTCCTATGTTTAGGGGGTCGTTGTTACTTATGACGTAATGACGTTTTTTGCTGGATCTTTCTCCATACTTTTGTCAGATGTTCAAATTTTTAAACATGGTCATCATTAAGTTTCGTCTTCTTTAAGATATATTTTGAGCAAAGTTACTTTTATTTTTATTGGGGAATGTAGAATTTAGATATTGGATATCAACAAAATTTGGCAATAAGATATTTTAGATATTAGAGGGATTGATGAGGCTTTGAAAGAAACAAGGAGGAAGAAATTTAATGATGATTTAAGGGAGACTTTGAAAAACGTATCCCATTCTGTGTATTCGGCGCTCAGTATCGGACCTGTGACTAATTACATTTCCAGACGATACGACAGCAGGCAAGTCGGCATGATTAGTGATCATGTGACATGGTTCTTGTG